CTTTCATATGACCCAACTATTCCACTCCTAAGTGTATTTCATGAGGATTAAAAATATATCCACACAAAAATCTGTGCATGAATGTTTAGAGCACATTATTTATAATGCTAATATCACTGAATTATACACTTTAAATGTGTAAGTTTGTCGTGTGTAACTAAAAAGAACAAATTAAACATCAAAAATAGAATGAATGTGTAAGTTTTATGGCATGTAAATTATATTTTAATAAAGCTGTTATTCTAAAAAGAATAATTTTACCACATTTCCAAGTAGTCAAAAGCCACTTGACTAGTCTGTGTACATCACAGTTCTCCGGTGTCTACCACACTTCCTGCATTCACATTTTTAACTAAGTTGAAAATTATATGTGCTAGAGAAATCCACAATCATAGAGGGTTAAAAATATTAGGGAAATAGCTATTAGATATGTTTTGATAGATATGCATGCTGTTGGAAGAAAAAAATGATTTCGTGGATTAAAGAGGCTTGGACTAAAAATCTAGGAAAGAGTTCAAAAGAAAATATTTTGTATAATGTATTTAACATTTGCTGTTATTCTATGAAAATTGATTAAATCTATCCATATGAGGGAAATCACACTAATGAAGTAGTGAGAGATATAAATAGAAGCTACGTGTATATGAACATGTATACAATAGTTCTTGATTAGAATTAAAAGAAAGCTTCCGTCAAGAACTTTATGAGCTCTGCAGTGGAGAAAGACTATGACATAACAAAGGTGAAACTGAAAGCACTCATGTTTACTGTTTAGAGTAGGATTTGGCAAACTTATTCCTGTAAACTACCAGACATTAAATAGTCTAGGCTTTGGGGAGGCTGAGAGTATAGCTCAGTGGTTCAAACCCCAGCACCAAAAAAAAAAAAAAAAAAAAAAAATTAGGCTTTATGAACCATCTTCTCAAAAACTGTTCAACTCTGACTTTGGAGCATGAAAACTGCTCTAGACAGTAAGTGAAAAAATGAGTGGCTATGTTCCAATAACACTACTTATCAAGACAGACGTTGGGACAGATTTGACCTTCAGACCATTTCCTTCCAATCCCTGGCTTAGAGGATCTGGGAAAGAGTTGTCTGAATAACAGTTATGAGTAAAATAGCCCCTGACATCCAGAAGCTGTTCTGGTGTCCATGGGAATCCCTTGGTGTTCTTTCTGCTTTTTATCAGCCGTACAAGTCTCAGACTAAAGTATCACCACTTTCAAATTTCAAAATTCTTCTCAGTCTTTAAGGTATCCTATGAAGACCTTTCTGTCGCGACCCCTTGCCCGCAAGGAAGACGCAACTCAGGAATCTTCTTTCAGCAGTTTATTCAGGCCCTTGATATTTCTTCTTCTCCCCCTCGGATGCCCCTCCCAGCCTTAATAAAGCATCTCAAGCCCCAATGCAAAGCTGCCACGTGGAGCTTTCTCATAGGGTGGTGAAAAACCATGCGCCAACTCTCCCAAATAAGGAGTTGTTTGTTACAGACCACAGCGGAGCCAGCGCCATCTTGTAATGGCGACCACGGTCTAATTAGAACGGCTCACCACAGTTCCCCCTTTCTGTTTTCTTAAAACAATACAGGCGAGAGTAGAGGTCCTATCCCACTGTGCAGAAGTGGCTGCATAGTATGGCTCAGTCCTAAGGAGGGCCCTTCCCCAGATCCGAGGCCATATCAGCCGACGCCTTTTTTCGTGGGGCGGGGCGTGGACGCGTCTAACCCGCATGCAATAGGACATGCTCTCCTTGAGGTCCACGTCAAGGATCACTCAAGTGCAGTGCCTTGCCTCGCATCCTGTATCGTGACGATGGTGGACGAAGGGGGATAGCTGAGGCTGAACTGTGGCTGTTAATAACAACAAGCAAGTTGACAGCACCCTGAAAGAAAGGCATGGACTTTAAGGCGATAGAAAAGCACTAGTGTGGAAACCCATCTGCGTGCAATGGCAGTAAAACCGGCAGAGTGCAAGGGCTTTCCAACACTAAGAGAATAACAAGGAAAGTCATGTCGATCCCAGTGCAATGTTATAATAACTTGGGGTGCAACGACCATGACAAAGGTTTACTGTTTAAGATGCGCAAGCCAGACTTGAGGTGAGTTGCCATTTTCTAAAGCTGCAAGAGCTTGTATGATCATAGCCTTATCGTGAGCACTGCGGGCCTTAAGGCGACAGAGAAACCACAAACAGAGGAACATACCGAAACAACACATTGCACCAAAAATGCCTACCCCCACCCACTCTTTGAAGAAGGAAAAAGCAGAAGATATCCAATCGGTGAATTGACCCAAAGTCACGGGATCGACACGGGTGCTGTTTAAGACAGCTATCTGGGTTAGTTGAGACTGGATCAAGTCTTCCGCTGCCATGGACCAATTTCCGGCCAAATATTCGCCAATGATGCGGGAGGCATTCCTGGAATCATTAAATCTGACAGAGGTTATGCATAAATGTGCACGTTGGTCAACACAACCCAAATGTACTAGGTCAGACAGTTCCTCAACTTGAGCTTGAAGCAGATCTATCCTTTGATTAGCAGCCAAAATCCCAGATAAAATGTGTTGATTAATTTTACTTTGGGATTCAAGTACAGTGGATGTTTGTTGAATAACCTGATTAATAGCGGCAGCAGTTTGTACTTGGCTGGCCATGGCTACTCCAGCTGTAACTGCTGCAGCAGCAGATACCGCCACAGCTGTCACTATAGCTGCCGTAAATCCAAAATCTCTACGGGTTCTAATCAATTCAACAATAGGAAAGGATTCTGGATCTGCAGTAACCGGGATCGGGACAAAGGTTGGAATTTTCATAATCACTGCTACAGTCCAAGAACCATTCCAACACTCAGACAAGTAGCAAGTAACATTAGAACAATTAAGCATCCCCTGTAATGTAACATTAGCCAAAAGAAACAGGAACGGAGATTGGAGACAGACTGCTGCGGAGGGTAATGTAGCATTAGATAATTGTGAATTATTTGCAAAAATTTTAAGCCTCCTACCTCGATCCGAGTCTTGGGTACTGCCAGAAACATTAAACAGCCAACTTTGGACTCCTAATATTTCCCTGGGGAAACACAAGCGCGGACTAGACTAGCCCAATCTGAGGGATACAAAATCTAGTAAGTCCCTCCACCTGAGTGAGAGTGAAAGCGGCATCTATGCCATAAGTGCGGACGGATTCTGCCAAGGTTTTAACTATCTTAAAGTCTAAAGGCTCATGATATCTTCCCCTGTTATTGTCCTGAAACACCGGGTACACAAGTCCCATATCTGTATTAACTGTCCTCCAAACTTGCGCATGAAAAGATCTCCCGGAACCTTGGCTCTCCCCCACATACGGGGGTGGGTCAACAGGCATCATATCTTCTTCTAAATTTTCAACCTCCTCCTCCTCAGAATTCTGTTGACCAATATTAGATCCCTCCCCCTTCTTACAGTAGGCATGCGCGCCTTGTGTCTCCTTTTTCTTCTTTTTCATTTTTATCTTATGTAGTTGTTGCAACAATATATCAAGGTCCTCAGAACACTCTGAGCCGCTTGTGTCCTCAGATGTTTTGAATTCGGTCAAGTCTGGATAGAGCCTTCTCCTATTTTTATCTTCAGGCTCTTTTGCCTTCTCACTACTGTTACTTTTGATACTCTCTGCCACTTCACTATGTGATCTTTCAGATTTTTCCTCATGTAGTTGTTCAAGAACGGCCTGACCCTCACTCACAGCTTCTTGGCATTTACCATCTGTAAGGCAACTACGGACCATTTTCCAAAGGGGTATCACCCCACCCTCTAATATGCCCTGCTCAGAAGCAAAGTCAAGATCTTTGCCTAATTTATCCCAACTAGGTACAGTAAGGCTGCCCGAAAATGCAAACCACGGTGCAGCGATATCTATCTTCTGTAAAAATCTCTGTAAAGTACTATGTTTCACTTCCAGGCCCTTGGAACGTAACAGGCCATCTAGGGCCAGGAGAAGCGGACTTGAAGATGCGGCACCCATGACACAACAACAAAAGAAGCACAAAAAACAAAAGCGAAATACAACAAGAAAAACACAGAAAACAAAAGCGAAAGTACACAGTGCAGCTGCAATAAAATGTAAGGCTCTCTCTGTATTTTCAGAAGAGCTGCCCCGCTTTGGTCGCGGATCCCACTTACTAGGGACTATCCCCGCTTTGATCGCGGATCCCACTTACTAGGGACTATCCCCACTTTGATCGCGGATCCCACTTACCTGGGACTAACCGGTGCACCACCCCTGACTGTTGAAAGTTCTGATTCCGGGGTTTCGGCACCACTTGTCGCGACCCCTTGCCCGCAAGGAAGACGCAACTCAGGAATCTTCTTTCAGCAGTTTATTCAGGCCCTTGATATTTCTTCTTCTCCCCCTCGGATGCCCCTCCCAGCCTTAATAAAGCATCTCAAGCCCCAATGCAAAGCTGCCACGTGGAGCTTTCTCATAGGGTGGTGAAAAACCATGCGCCAACTCTCCCAAATAAGGAGTTGTTTGTTACAGACCACAGCGGAGCCAGCGCCATCTTGTAATGGCGACCACGGTCTAATTAGAACGGCTCACCACACCTTTCTACCTGGTTTTAAGTAATCACGCTGTGTTCTCTGAGTTTCTATATCACTGTGGTATAGCTCTAATGTATATTCTACATTGTTATGTCATAGATCTGTATGTCTTACATATACATAAGACATTGTATATATCTTACAATTCTGTTCTACCCTAAAAAATCTTAGAATAACTATGTTTTGTACATCTTTAACTTCCCTAGAATAGAAAATGTTTTTTTCCGACATGTGACAAGTACTTAATTATAGATTCTACATGACAACACATGAAAGTGTTCATAACTAATAGAAGTAACTAATAAGAGATATACTTTATAAACATTGGTATAATAATGTGCTTTTTAATCCTCTACATAGCATTGCAGCAGACCTTAAAATGTTTGAAGCAATATGGAAAAAAAGTAGAGAAAAATTACCTTACCTGGATACATCCTTCATCTATCTTGCCCTTTTCAGGATCAATTTTAAAATGTGCAGTTTTTTGAAAACGGTATGTCACAGGAAGGGATTTAGATCGATTTTGTACAATGCACAGAATGTCTGAACGTTCACCCATGAAACAAGGTGTAAAATTAAGGACTTTTCCTGGATCAAAATGTAATAAGACAGGAAGTCCTGAGCCTGTCAGTGCTAATTCCACTTTCTGAAATTGATCACCTGGAAAAGCAATAATAGCTATTGAACATAAAAAGTGGGGAATCCAGAATATATTTACTTAGTATATATAGTGTCATTTAAAGGACCTGATGAGAAATAGGTAGCTCATTTAATTTTTTCATTCAAGAAAAATATTGAGTGCCTTCTCTGTGCTAGGCACTCGTCTGGGCCTTGGGTCTACAACAATGAATATAAAAACCTTGTTCTCAAACTTTACATTCTAGTGAGGTGATATTGATAATGAACAACTAAGCAATACACTTATTTTTATTAGAGGATAAGTGCTATAAGGATAAGTAGGGTAAGACAGATTGAATACAAGGTCTTCGGGATGTTATTTTACGTAAAAAAGTCAAAAAGGCCTCTCTCAGGCTATGGTTGTGGCTCAGTGGTAAAGTGCTCACCAAGCATGCATGAGGCACTGGGTTCAATCCTCAGCACCACATAAATATAAAATAAAGATATTAAAAAATAAAAAAAAAAAATTACAAAGGCTTCTCTTTTGGACATTTGAACAAAAATATAAGGGAATCGGGAAGCAAATCACATGAACATCCAGAAAAGTCTATTCTAGGCAGAAAGAACAGAAAATACAAATACTCTAAGGTAGGAACTTGGTTGGCAGTTTAAAAAGACCCCAAGGAAACAAATATGGCTAGGGGAAAGGAATAGAAGAATGATGAGAAATGGTCATACTTTAGATAGATTTTTGAGGGTAGAGTAAGATTTGCTGACAGAATGGATGTAGGAAAGTGATAAAGGATGACACTAATTTTTTTGGCCTGAGCAATGAAATGATGAAGTTGCCATTTCCTGAAACAGAAAACATTGAAGAGGGTGGGGTTATGGGGAAACTGGGAATTCCATTTGGCACATATTAAGCTTGAGAGGCCTTCTAGATAACTGTAGTGGTTCTGATCTTTAATGTCCCCTGAAAAGCTCATGTATTTGGTATTACAGCTATGTTTAGAGGTAAAATTATTAGATTATGAGAGTTGAAACCTTACCAGTGGATTAATTAATTTGATGGATTACTAATTTGAATGGATGACCAGGTGTACTGGGTGATAATTGTAGGCAGGTGGGACATGGCTGGGAAAATGACCTTGGGGATTATTTATCCCTGGCGTCTCCCCATCTCCCCCCCCCCTCTGTCTCTCTCTCTCACACCTGCCCTCCCCTTTCTGGTTCTGGTGAACTGATGCTTTCCTCTACTACACCCTTCCACCATCATGATTTGCTTCACCTCAGGCCCACAGCAATTGAGCCAGCAGACCATGATCTGAACCTCTAAAAGCATGAGGCCAAAATAAATTTTTCCACCTCTAAGTTGTTCTTGTCAGGTATTTTGGTCACAGCCACAAAAAGCAGACTAATACAATGTCCTAATAGAAATACCTAGAAGGCCACTTAAAGTGTTTATAAGCTTAGAGTAAAGATTAAGGAGGAAAAATGGGATACTTGAAGAAAAAATAAAAGGTGTGTGATATTCATCTTGGAATGTGACAAACAATGAATGGAAGAACACAGTGGGAATATCAAATATCTTAAAGAATCCATTTGGTTCGTGGTTACATGTTTTTCTCCAACACAATCAACTTTCCACATACAAATCCAGAGTAGAAAAAAAAGTTGAATTTACTAGGATTAGAATACTTCCACTCATTCAATATTGGGAAAGAACAAAGATTTAAATGTACATGGAAAAGAGTAATTAAAATAATGGGACAATGGAATATAAATTGGGCAGGAATAAACATGAAGTTTTTGAGACACAAGAAATAAGACAGAACCTATGGATTATAGTTTTTAGTTTTATAGACAGTAATATAACTAGAACCAAAAGAGTTGTATTTCTTCACTGATGCTCTTATTGGATGATACTTGATTCTAAATTACCTTTTAAGGTAAATGTAGCATCTCCATCACTAGCTATTCAAAGTTAGATTAATCTGCAAATATTCTATGATCAGCATCTTTCAATATCACAAACTATGACAAAATTAATGATGTAATAAATTTCTGTTCTAGGAACACAGTTAAAACTTGCTCAGTATCACTTGTATTGACCTGCATATCTTCTAGACTTTTGAAATTCCTAAGTATCCAGGATGAACCTACCCCCTCTTGGGCACAGTTTATTTTTCTAGATTTTAATCCCTAACCTGTTTATTTTATCTGATTTGTCTTGCTGAAGTGATCCAAGTCTTGTTTCATCTTTTTCCTTACTACAACCAGCCCAATATTAACTGAGAATATAAAAAGTATAATGTACTTTCACGTGTGACCTATAAAACATATGCCCTTATCAGTATCCTATGACAAGATACAACACCTATTTATTACATCTCTAAGTCTTAGTCTTTGAGAGTTATTGTATAGAGTCTAAGAGAGATGAAGGTCTGGTAGAAATGGAATGAGTCATTTGTTCCCATGCCAAGCCCTAAAAACAAATCTAGGCATACATAGAAAAATAAAACCAGTTTTTTTAAAAAAAATCCAACTCTTTAGTATCATGTTTATCTAATGATATAAAGTTATCTAAATTCTAACCTAGAAAATTAGTATGTAAATGATTCTAAGGTTGATTTCATTCTTAACATATGCCAAAGTCACTTAAATATGCTTGTATTTTTGTTCAGTCTAATAATTACAATTTTATTAAAGTGCCTCCACAAATCGATGTCAAAATTTTAAACAATTTTAATTGCTATACATTTGATGGTTTTGTTAATTTTATACTTACTTTTGATGGTTTTATAGTTATCATTTCTCAAAAATCCATCTTTACTTCCTACAGATTCAAATCTCAAAAAGACAGCATAGTCTTGCCTGTGTGAAGGGTCAATATCTTTTTTACCATCAATTATTAGCCTGTAAAAATTATAATCAGTTATTTTTAAAGCAAAGGTGATATACATTACCACCTCTCAAAGAAAATATCGACTTAATACTTAAATCTATGCAAGCAAATGAAAGTTAATAGAAATATAACTGGTATCTATTTTCCAAAATTACTGAACAGATACAGACTTGACAAAAAAAAAGGCCACAGAGTACAAAGTTCAGAAAAAATGAGTTCATGCCAACATTTGTAAGACAAGAGTAACTTAAATGCACTAAGTCATCAAGATCTACCTCAAATGCCACTTTCTCTGTAAAGGATTTTCTTTCCAGGCAGAATTCATTGCTGACCAAGGACTCTGATCAATTTTCTACAATAGTCTATCTCACTCTTGAGAGTAACTGAAAACTTCTGTTACATATTTTTTTCCTCCAGGTTACTAAATGCATATTGCAAGCCAACTTCTTATTCATGGACAACAAGTGATTTTGAGAACAAGATTTGTACGAGTTAAATCTTGTTAGAGAAAAAGGAAGGGTGGAGAGAGTCAAAGACAGAGATGGGTTACATCATGGGCCTGCACACTGACTATCTTTATGTGCCTTACCTAGAGGTTAGCTTTCTGGCAGTTGATTCACAAATACACAAAAGAATGATATGTAAGATGAAAAAGGAATGCAAATGGTGTGCTCAAACATATTTGACTAAGATTTCAAATCATACTCATACCTACAGGTCCATGCCAGACTCTCAAAGTTAACATGCTGCCATGGAAAAGAATATTTGGAATTTAAAATATTGCTTATTAAACAGAATCTTATAGATTCACCAAATAAATTTCCTATAGGAAGCTATCATTAGTAAGGCAATTTTAGATTGGACAAGTGGGACAATTACTTAGTAGCTTCCTTAAAATTAAAACATAACTCAGTCTTCAAAAAGCAATTGAACCAGGCATAGTGGCACAGGCCTGTAATCCCAGCAACTTGGGAGACTGAGGCAAGAGGAGGGCAAGTTCAAAGCCAGCCTCACCAATTTAGCGAGGCCCTAAGCAATTTAGTGAGACCCTGTCTCAAAATAAAAAATTTTAAAAAGGGCTGGGATATGTCTCAGTGGTTAAGCACCACCGAGTTCAATCTTCAGTAACCACCCCCCTCCAAAAAAAGGAAATTGATATTACCAAGTGACTCTACTGCAACAAAAAAGCCCATTGAATATTATCCTCTCATAAATAAGAATAAACATACTTGCAATAGGATCCGTTACTGACACACACTGCATCATACCAAGGTGTCACTACAATTGCTACTATATCTTAAAAGTAACACTTCCAAAAATCTTTCCAGTCTAAATAATAAAACCAAGAACATTAAAATAAAAAATATATTGGTCTAAGTATCAAAAATTTGTATGCATTTCAGAAAACAGTTGTGGTTAATCCCAGCAGGTACTATATATTTAATACTTAAAATACTCAGTCATCAAAGATTCTGCCCTACCATGAGTACTGCATCCTATTTGGAGATCTCTCTACATACTGCACATACCTATTTCTGCAGGGACAACACGTTCTGGACAGCACAAATCAGTTTGTGGTTATAATGAGGGAAAAAAAACCCCAAAACTTGGCACTTCCACCACCACATTTCCACAAGGTCTAGAGTAATTTTTTAGCACTATATTCACAAATATTGGATGTTATGTGCATATATAAATATACCATAGTGAATTCCACCTTTATGTATATCTATAAAGCATCAATCAAAAATAAATAAGTGAGTGAAAGGAAGACCAGTATAGTAAAGGAAGGAGAATAGGGAAAGGGAACAGGGGAGGAAAGAGGGGTACCAGTACTGAAAGAGTAAATCAAATTCCATGCATGTATAATTTTGTCAAAATGAAAACAAGCATTAAGTCTAATTATGATGTGCTAATAAAAGAAAATTATTGGAAATAATATTAACCATGCTGGAAATATTTAGAATAATAACAAGAAAAATCTGATTTATGCCTTCAGGCAAGCTTTATTATGACAGTATTAAAATCAATTTGGTTAAAGTGTAGCTAACACAATTTCCATTAGTACTTAATAATATTATAATGGAATAAATTTTGGACTTACTTACTTCGGGCTGAAACAAAATGTAATTATAACCTTTTGATAAGGTAGTAAAGTCCCTTCATTTGGGACACAGGAGATAAAATTGGTAATATCTATATTCTTTATTTTGTTTAAGTAGGTGAGATTATTTAAAGCAACATCTGTTCTTTGTCGAATATTTGTACCCTGTAACATAAAATCAGAAATAAAAGCATATATAAAAGCATATAAAAGGCAAGCCACAAAAATATTTTAAGAGGAGCTCATAAAACAATCATTGAAATTTTAGAATCTAGAAAATAGAGAATATCTGTCTTTAAAATAACACATACCTAAATTTGACCGAGTAAGGTACATGATAAAATTTAAAGGATATTGAAAAATTGATGAGAACAAAAATCACTACAATTAGTCACTGATCCATGATACTTAACTGGTTTACTTTGGATACACATTATTATAAATGTTAGCTTAATTTATTAAAGTTTTTAAGGTTAATCTGGAATACACATGAAATCACATCTATCTGCCCATGTTAGCATAATTAAACAGCTTGTGGATATTAGTAGGTTCAGAACGACCTGTTTTAAATCATAATACGTACTATGCCATTTACTGTTGCGCCATTTACTTACCATTTCTCCTCCAACAGAATCATCTTGAATTATTGCCACCCAATTTATGGATTCTGGGCTATTATTATATAGAACTGCCTGTTCAATTTTTGATGTTCCAAAGAAAACAGAACCAAAGCATACGCATTCCAACTTTTTATCACTGTTCATGTTCAACAATTCAATAATCTGTTCAACTACATGAGCTTTGATACTGAAGTGTATATCAGGAAGTCCTTGCAAACTCACTCTATAGGATAATAAAATAAACACATATATAAATATTTTATTAGAATTTTAAGTACTTTATTTTTTCTTCTAAATGTATAGATAAAATCTTACAAAATCGTATTATAATCAAAATTCAATAGCCTAACACCAATTTATTTAACATACATGCCAAAGGTTCACAGGCATCGCTGTCTGAATCTATACAGTGGAATGGCATGTTTGCAACCTAGTTAACTGTCTACTGGAAATAACAAAGTTGGAAAATAAACTCATGAATTAACCCCAGAAAGAACTCAATGGTATATCCATATCACCAATTATTTCATTAATTCTGGAGTTAGATGATTTACATGATTACCTCTAGCTCTAGAATTCTGAGCTAACTCAATCTACACCTCAAGTCTAACAGCCAATCTCATGCATATTCTAATACCCCAATATAAAGTATCTCAGCACAACCCAACTACTTTGCTGAAAAGAATATTTCCCATAAAACCATAAAACTTCCTATATTAATTTCAATTATCTTTTACAACTGCATTTCCATATTTATCCTTCTTTGGCATAAATGCAATCTTTTTAATCTAGTCCTATCATATAACATGAATAACTGGCTACTCCTCACATATCACCTAAGCACTTATTTTACATCACAGCCAATAAATTGGGCATTGTTAATCTCATCTATTTACACCTCTATCCTCCCTTAGCTTCCTTGACACCATATTTCCTGGTTTTCCTTCTACATCACTTATTCCCTGCCTGCTCATTCTAAGACTTGGATCCTTTGTAAACTCCATGTACAGTGAGTGATATTTCTCTCCTACTCTTTCACACTTTACCTTCCTTCTTAGAGTTATTCTTAATACCTTCCTGTTTCATCTACCACTTATACATTGATGACCCTTCACCCAATATACCTAGACTAAACTACTTTCTCAGACTCAAGACAAGGGAATGTAATAGGTCTTAGTCAGCTCTACTAGGATTCTGAAAAGCAAGTCAATCCCCAAATGTCAAATCTGAACTCAAGATCTTCTTCCACAGACATGTTTCTTTTGTCTTTTCTTTCTACAATCAGTCATCAACTCTAGTGAAATTTACCTCCTTAACATATCTCAATCACAATTTTCTCAGTCCTCCCAATTTGTTACTTAGCTCAGGCCTTTATCATTTCCCTCTTGTTCTATTATAATTTCTAATCAGACTGCCCACTCTACATTTGTGTACCCTGATCTGTTTTGCACACTGCTACCTGCACGACTTTTCTAAAATGCAAACTAGTCAAGACATTCTCATCCTAAAGCCGTCCTGAGGCTTCACAGCCTTCACAATAAAACCTATGCTCCTATCAGGATCACAAAATTTTCTCACACATTTATGACTGTGGTCTTCAGTAAGAAATATATTTTATATTGCAATGTAGTCACACACGCATACACACACACACACACACACACACACACAAAGAGAAATAATTATAAGACAGAATTTCCCTTGCTATTTGAGACACATTCTGATATTTTTTACTTCATTCTTTTAAATACTGGTGATGACCCATTGTACTGCTTGCACCTTCCATTAATAAATGCAGAAATACTTCATAAAATGTTCATTCTGTTTTTCTGATCTCATTTGGCATTGTTGGCATAATTACAGCCACCTTCCTTTCCCCCACCCCCATTTTATTAACACTGTTCTTATTCTCAAGAAATAGAAACAAACCCAAGTTAAAACTTACCGGTATGGAGACATGCTGGCCTCTCTCTGTTCTCTTATTGAGATAGGAGACAACTTACCAGCCCCTGAGATGGAGTTGTGCTGGTTTCTCTGTTCTCTCCTTGAGAGATAAAGTTACCTGCTAGTTTCCTTGTTCCCTCTTTGAGAGATAGGAAAATTGCCTGTCTCTGTTCCTGAGAAACAAACTTGCCTTCTACAAAATCAGGGGATGCTCGTTATGCCAATCACCAAGACTAAGCCCACCCCTAATGCCCGGCCATGATTTTAGCCTATAAAAGGTAACATTCAAGAGGGAGTTGCTGCTGCTCTCTTGCTTGCTTCTTATCCCAGGTGTGTCTTTGATCAGCCCAGCACCACTTTTCTTTCAAGCATCACTTTGCATCTCTATTTCTTCGACTCTGCATTGCCTCAGATCCCACAATATGTAAAACCACCATTTCTCCTCTAGGATTTTAAGTCTGCTACTTGCTCTACCTGAAATGACTCCTCCAACTCACTTTCATCACCAACACTCATTTCCCCTACACACAGACATACACCACATACCCAATCACATCACTGCTGTTTGCTAGCTAATTCTTCCTCACTGATAATTCTTTGGTTCATCTATTGCCTTGTAGGTGGAGTCCTTCCCTGATCCACTCCACAAAATTCAAGATAGCAGCTCCTGTTTTGTGTACCAATATTCTATTCTCTAGTTCTTCCCATTTCTGAGACCCTGGTGGTTGGCAAATAGTAGAACCTCAATGAATGACTGCTGAATGAAAGAAAAAGAAGCTCACATACAATCAAAGGTACACCTGAAGAGTAAACAGGGCAGTTATTAAGACCCATATTAGAATTAAGAACCATAATATATACTTACTTTGCCACTTCATTTACAATTCTGGGCTGGTCTGCACAGAAATTCACTCTGAGAATCATTGATGACTTAGCCTCCACAACACCACTAGCTGGAGACATGAGGATGGGTAGTTGGCCCTGGTAGTCTGTTTTAAATATACCTAAGGGGATAAGAGTAATGGTTTACATGTGGACCCTAACAATGTTTCATTCACAGTCTTAGTAGGGGACAGATATTACAGAGAAGATAGTCTAGTGTTGACCAAGAATGACAGATTTAGTTGTAATTCCAGATGCCAGGGTAAGCCAACAAACATGAGCCTTATGTTAGGACTCAAGTCTTACAGATAGCTGAACAATATTATCCTCTTACTATGTTCAGACAGTTATACTAAGAACTTTACATATTTTATTCAATTTAATCCTCAACAATTCTATGATATAGGTTCAATCATTTATCTTCATTTTACAAATATGAAAATAGACACCCAGAAATGTTGAGTTACTTCTTCCAAAGTGCAACAGCTGGTGTGGAAGATTAGATTCTTGATTCCCAATTTTTCACCCTTCTCTGCATTCAAACTCTTACTCGACCATGTATGTTTTCCCATCTCCTGACACTGAGCTTCTTTGTGTGATTTGCTTTACCAACAACATGTGGATAGAATCAATAGCATGTGTTTTAGTCAGCATTTTGCTACTGGGACTAAAAGACCCAACCAGAACAATTTTAGGGAGGAAAAGTTTATATGAGGGCTCACGGTTTCAGAGGTCTCAATCCATAGACAGTAGGCTCCATTCCTTGGGGCTCAAGGTGAGGCTAAACTTCATGGCAGCAGAATGTGGAAGAAGGAAGCAGCTCAATGATCAAGAAGCAGAGAGAAATCTCCACTTGCCAAATACAAATATATACCCCAAAGCCACACCCCCACTGCCCAGGTCCTCCAGCCACACCCCACCTGCCTTCAATTACCACTCAATTAATCCCATCAGGTGAGTGATTCACTGATTGGGTTAAAGCTTTCACAGCCCAGTCATTTCTTCTCCAAGCCTTCTTGCATTATCTCACATGTGAGCTTTCATGGCAGGCCAGTTTCAATCCATATGTATTTCATTAGGGAAGTGGGAAATGTTTTTCCTGAGTAATTGCTATCCCTTCGGCCTATGCCCCAGAATATGAAACTGTGGAGCAAATCCATCCAGTTGACCCACAGACCTTCAGTAAGAAACAGAACAGCTCAGCTTCCTTGGCTTGAAGCCATACACCCAGCTGAGCTGAGCCTAGATTTGTCAAGTTCCAGTCAAACTGCATCTATTTAAACAATAATAAAATGCATACCATACTCTCTGGCTTACATTGTGTTCAATAAAAATCAGCTATTAATGTTATAATTCTCTTTCTACAACCTCTACCCCTATTTATTTCTCTTTTGTGAACTGCTGTTCCTTTTTTTTTGTACATTAAATATAAGGGTTCCTTAGGGGTTTGCCACACTTTAATGAGTACTGTCCATTATATTATGCTATAAAAATCTATTCATATCACTGAGATTGGTCAGCAAAGAAGGAAATGACTGCAGTTTAAAGCATGCTAAAATAATATTTTTTCAACCTTCAAAGATAAAAACTGAAAGACAATAGGGGTATTATCCATACCATAAAATTATGAAAGGGAACATGGAGTTCATCAACTTACAATGTACTAATATTAGAGACACCTTAAATAATGAACCATATCTTCCCAGAAAGAAAAGGCAAACACAACTTTGAAGTCAGGAGAAAACTTAGAAATCATTTTTATAAATGGTGAGAAAAAAATGTATTCAATAATTTTTGGCTAAATCCCTGGATGTTTACACCATAATGGGCTATAACAATAAACCATAAGAAATTGTTATGTGGATAAGCTTTTGGGTCTACAAAACCAAAGATAACATCTCTAGCAACACGACAAGAAAGAGAAAAAACAAAGCTGTAAAAATCATAAAACTTCTGTGTTTTTTCATTGTCTTTTTAAGTACAGATATAAATCTGTAAGCATTTTAACATTGACTCTAAAACTATAAAATATTTGTCATGTGAAATGCTTTTCAAAATTTTATTAAAATCATCTTTGGTTTTGGAATCTATTTTCTGTAGAAGTGTTTTTCTTAATGAATATACATTGCTATTATCATTAATTTGTATATGTACTTGTAGATAATAAGGACTTTATGACACTTTAGAGGCATCACTACTGTGAATATAATACATACTATCAATTTTGGTAATGGTAGAAAAATAATCAAATTCAAGAGTGAGGGACAAAGTCATAAGAAAATCTAACTCATTGATAACAATTTGTTTCAGTTTGTAAGTTAATAGTTATCATTTCACAGTACTCAGTTATAATATACCTCACCAAGTTCGTACAAATATTACATATAAAATTTTAATACAATACTAAAAGCCAATTTGGATTATTTTTCCAAAAATATATGAACCCAGGCCTGTAGCTTAATTTTATTTCTTTTATTTCACTTAGTAAAATTATATTAAGTATTCAATTAAAATTAAATCCATATTTCTCTTTTACCAAGGGATTTCAGTTGTAATAAAACTATTTAATTTGGTGAGATTTTAGAATAAAAAAGATATATAATTGTGATTTAAACTCTGAAGGTTTATGAATGAACAATAGTTAAGAGAAATTCTGAACAGTAAAATAATACAAATAAAAATCTCTCAGTTGCATATCATTGCTTTAAAGTATAATCACAGTCCACAGGACCATATGGTCCATAATCACTTGCAATGAGTCTATCCTTCACAATGGAACAAGACTACAAATGAGCCTAATATTTCATCAACTCACAGGTACTGGACATTCAATCATTTTAAAAATTAAAACATTATAAGTATAATAAGCAATATTCAATGAAAAACAGTTATCAGTTTTATTTTTTCACACCCTAGGAAAAAAATCAGTAATGTGATATATCACCTTTGTCTTAACAATTCCCAATGATCAATCAGGCAACCCCAGATAACTACCACAGTTAGTAGAAAAGAGTTTTGGGATTAAGATCTGGTTTATGTGTTCCTTAAGCTATCTCAAAGAGAGATCCGGTCCTGTCTAGCACTAAAAGAGGATAAATACTTACTGAGTGCCTAGGATGAGCCAAACACCACGCCACAATTTTAAGGTGTACATAATTAACAATCATACATTGTATTAGTCTCAGTTTATAAACAATCTAAAATTTAACAAAAAAGACTTGCCCCAGCTCACACAGATAGCAAGGCACTGTGCCCTAAATTCTGCTGTTTGATAGTGCTAAGGACAATGTCACCTCTATGACACCTTCCTTCTCCCTTTTCTCAGGGTATTCACCAATCATCTGAGAGTCAGGCTGTATTAATTAGTATCATAAGAAGGCAGGTTCATTTTTCCTGAATTATTGCATTATCTGCCCTTTTACAGTCATGATATTTAAGGGCTTTTGGTTTGAGCTATTTCAAATGATAGGCATATTTTTGATGATTCAGAGAACCTATTAATAAAACAAGGCATACATTTAAAAAATGACCCATAATGGGGGGGGGGGGGCATAGGGAGAATGGGACTTTGGGCAAAGGGGAGGGAGGTAAGGGGAGGGGGTATGGGGGTAGAAAAGATGGTGGAATGAGATGAGCATCATTACCCTAGGTACATGTGGTGTGACTCTATATCATGTACAGCCAGAGAAATGAAAAGTTGTGCTCCACTTGTGTTTAATGAATTAAAATGCATTCTCCTATCATGTATAACTAATTAGAACAAATAAAATAAATAAATAAAAATAAAATAATTCTAATACTTCCAAAATTGTAAGTTAATTTATATGACAGAAAATATTTACCTGGAGCTTTGCCATGGTTAATAATTCTAATCTCTTTAAAATACACTTTACTATTGGCAACTAATGTGCCAAAATCAACTAATGATGCAACTTCCAATTCACAAGATGGAATCATCCTAAGAGAGGAGAAAGAGGTCCACATAATTAATTTTAACAATCAAACAAATTCATAGTTAAATCTATAAGGGGACAAATATAGATATTTTTATCTCCTAAAAACACATTTTGATTTCCTTACAGATCTACAAATAGCATAGTTGTCAGCAAAAGGAATTAAGAAATAAAGACGTGAAGACAAGATAATGAGATATATTTTTTAATAAAATTTAGGTTTTATGCATATAAGTACATGGTATACCCTCTTAAATACTCACCTTGAAAGACTACCCACTTAATATATGTATTGCTCAAAACATATTTGGAATTCATTTTGGGAATCTCCATTTAAGTAGATAATACATTCATCTGACCCTCAGAAAAGCTGGAATTGATCTTAAGAAAATAGTTTGAAAGATGCAAAATATAATGAAATAAAAGAAGGTTGTGGGGCTGCAGCTATGGCTCTATGGCAGAGCGATTGCCTGGCATATGTGAGGCACTGTGTTTGATCCTTAGCACACATAAAAATAATTTTTAAAAATAAAATAAAATAAAGGTATACTGTCCATCTACAACTACAAAAAATAAAAAAATAACATTGTGATGTTATAACATATCATTCAGGGTATAAAAGAATATCTAAGGACAAAATGATACAAATGACTTTTCATATATGCCTCTAAAGTTCACCATATCCTGCTATAACATGTGTTTTCCTAAATGTGCATAAAAATCCATTATTATCCTAACTGCACATTTCCTAAGTATGCATTTATTTTATAGCTGGATAGTGATTTATAGTTTACAAAGTACCCTGTTTGGTACTAAATTCCCCCAAATTTCCCAAAGTAGGGAAAATATTATTATCACTCCTATGTTACAAAAAGCCAAAGACTCACGACTTTCCTAAGTAATTATTTGGAAATAAATTAGCCTAATTTAGAATTTATTTTGTTAGGCTTTAAATATATTATGCTTACAAATCTAACAATGATAACAATAATACCAATAATAAGTATAGTAAAAATGAATCTGTATTGAGTTCTTGGGTTATGTGCAATAAACATGCATTAAGTCATAGTAGTATTAATCTATCAGGAAAACATGATCATGAATGTTTACACATTAAACAAGAGAAACCCAAAATATACTCACCAAAATTTGACAAAGCTGGAAGGAGAAAAACAAAAACAAAAAAATAGTAGTTGGAAATATCAAAATTCTCATCTAAAGGCTCCCTTTGATTTGGACCCACTAACCCATAAATCATAAAGATAGATTGCCAGAAAAAACAAGTACCCAATAATATTTAATTTACATATACAGAACAATCTGCCCAAGAAAAGAAGAATGGACATTTGTCTCAAGCACTTATGGAATATTCACCAAAATAGACTGTATTCTTAACCATAAAAGTGAACAAATTTAAGGTATTTGAAATCATGTCCAATGTTTTAGCGAATCATAACAGAATAAAATACAGACCAATAAAAGAAAAAACAACAGGAAACTCTTTAAATGTGCAGAAATTAATTAACACACTTATAATCCACAAGTCAAAGAAGTTTCAAAGATATCTAAAAAACATATACAAGTGAACAAAAACAAAAATGCATCATATAAATACATGGGACAAAAATAAACAGTGCTGCCAAGCACAGTGGCTCACGCCTGTCATCCCAGTATTTCAGGAAGCTGAGGCAGGAAGGTCACGAGTTCAAAGCCAGTCTCAGCAACTTAAGAGACGCTCTAAGCAATTAGACCTTGTTTCTAATGAAATATAAAAAAGGGCTGGGGATGTGGCTCAGTGGTTAAGTGCTCCTGGTTTCAATCCCTGATACAAAAACAAACAAACAAAAAAGTAGGTGGGAATGTTTTAAATCAATGACTTAATTTCCAACATCAAGAAACTAGAAAAAGACAGTAACATAAACTCAACTCAAGAAGGAAATAAACAATAGAGAGCAGCAATCAATGGAATGTAAAATAAAATGATAAAATCAATAAGAAATTAAGATTTTTTAAAAATAAATAAAGTTGATAAACCAATAGCAATATTTAAAAAGTAAATAAATAAAAAGATGAATCACTGACATCAGGAATAACAAAGGGGATATCACTATGCTGCTACAGTCATTTAAAAAGAAAAAAAATACTGAAAACTTCATATTCATATATTTGACAATATAAACCTGTAAGAATTCCTGGAAAACCGCAAACTATAATAACTCCACCAAGTTGAAACAGGCAATATGAACAGCCCACTAGACATCAAAACTCGAACTCATCATTTATAACATCCTGAAAAAGAAATCTCCAGGCCCAGACAAATTCACTCTTTAAATAATTAGTATCAATATTAAACAAGCTCTTTCAGTGTCTGTGGTTGTAGCTCAGTGGTAGAGCACTTGCCAAGTACATGTAGGGCCCTGGGTTTGATCCTCAGCACCACATAAAAATGAATAAATAAAATAAAGGTATTGTGTCCATCTACAAATAAAAAATATTGAAGAAGAAGAAGGAGGAGGAGGAGGAGAAGGAGGAGGAGGAGGAGGAGGAGGAGGAGGAGGAGGAGGAGGAGGAGAAGCTTCTTTTCCAGAAAATAAAAGAGAAAATATTTCTTGATTCATTTTATGAGGTTGGTACTACCCTGACACCAAAGCCAGACAAAGGCAATACAAAACAAACAAAAAAATAAATAAAACAAACTATAGACCAATATCTCTCAAGAATTGGGACCCAGCAATCTCAAATATAACATTAGCAAACCAAATTCTAGCATACAGGAAAAGTATGATACTGTATAACCAAGAGGAATTCATCCCATGTATACAAGGACAAGTCCAGTTCAACATTCAAAAATTAGTCTATGTAGTCCACCATATAAATAAGTTGCAAAAAAATCATGATCATCAGGGCACAGTGGCTCATGCCTATAATCCCAGCAACTCAGGAGGCTGAGGCAGGAGGATCAATAGTTCAAAGCCAGCCTCAGCAACTTAGCAAAGCTGTAAGCAACTTAGCGAGACCCTGTCTCTAAATAAAATATAAAAAGGACTGGGGATGTGGCTCAGTGGTTCACTCATAGGTTCAATCCTTGGTACCAAAATCATCATCATCATCATATGAATTTTCACAGAAAAAGCTTTTGATAAAATTCCACATTTCTGGGGCTGGGGTTGTAGCTCAGTGATAGAGTGTTTGCCTAGCACGTGCGAGACCCTGGGTTCAATCCTCAGTGCCACATAAAAATAAATAAACAAAATAAAGGTATTATGTCCAACTATAACTAAAAAATAAAATATTAAAAAAATCTACATTTATTCATGATAAAGACTCTTGTAAAGTTAAAATAGATGGGACAGACAATAACAAGGAATCTAAAAATACAAACACACAAAAATCTCCTAGAAATTGAGGTCAGCAAGGTGAGATGATAAAATATCAACTCACAGAAATCAATCGTATTTACATACTATCAAGGAACATTTACAAACACTCCAAAAAATGAAATACCAGGATGCACATTAAGACACTCATGCAGGATCTTTGTATTGAAAAATGACAATATGCTGGTAAAAGACATCAAAGTAGACCTAAATAAATGGGAAGACATAGCATGTTCATAAATTGGGAAATTTACATAATAAAGATGTTAATTCTCAAATTGTTCTACATGCTAAATTTAAATCTTATCAAAATCCCAACATATTTTTTGTGGACTCAGAAAACTTATTCTGAAATTCGTATGGAAAGGCTGAGACATTAAAATAGCTAAAATAATCTTATCAAAACAGTGAAGTGTGAAGAATTGCTTTGTTACATTTTAAGAAACACTTTGCAGTAAAGGTAATTAAGATAGCATGATGTTGGTAAAGGTATGGACACATAGGCAGTAGAACAAACTACAGAACTCAGAAAGAAATCAACACTAATATGCTCACTGATTTTGTGTGTGTGTGTAGTTGAGAGAGAGACTGAGAATTGAACACGAGTATGCTAGGTGAGCACTCTCTGAGCAACACTCCTAGCCCCTCCACTGACTTTTTTCCCAAAGGTTCACAATCAATTCAATGGAAAAGGTTAGCTTTTTCAACAATGGGGGTCAAAGCAATTGGATATCTACTGGGAAAAGAGAAACTTTGATATAAACTTCACATTTCATACAAAAATTAATTATAAAAGTACCACTAATCTAAATGTAAAACTTAAAAATAGCAGAAAATCTTCATGATCAAGGCTTAGGCAAAGAGTTCTTAGTCTTGACATTAAAATCATGAACCATTAAAATACTGATAAATTGAAATCAAAATTTAAAAAGAAAAAATATTGCTGTACAAAATATTATGTTGAAAGGATGCAAAGTCAATTCATAGACTGGGAAAAATATTTTCAAGCCACATATCCATCAAAAAACTTGTATCCAGAATATAAAGAAATTGTGAAAACTTAATAAAACAAATAAACAATATAATTTTAAAATGAGCAAAACACATTCATAAACATTTCATCAGAGAAGATATTCAGATGACAGAAAAACACATGAAAACATGTTCAGCGTTATCAGTCATCAGGGAAATGCAAATTGAAACTACAATGAGTTTCCACTATCTGTCAGAATGGCTAAAATTTAAACATAGTGACAGCAACAAACACTGGAAAGAATGTGGGCAAAGTGTATCACTCACATTGCTCATTGGAGTGCAAAATGGTACAGCCACTATGGGAAGCAATTTGGGATTCTCTACTAAAGTAAATATGCAATTACCATATGACCTAGCAATTGCACTAATGGGCATTTTTCCCAGAGAAATGAAAACTTATGTTCACATAAAACTTGTGCGAGAATATTAAAGCAGTGTACTTATAATAACTAAAAACTGCTATCAGTCTCTATTCTTCAAAAGATCGATGGTTTAAAAAAAAAACTGTCGAATTAAAAAAATGTTCCCTTTCCCTAGAAATGCCATGACAAATAATATAGCACATTAAATATTTTCATGAAAATGGCAAAAATAAATAAATAAATAAATAGAAACTGCAGTATATACATACCATACTATGGAATAGTACTTAGTAATACGAAGGAACAAAAATATAGTCAACAACATGGCTGAATCTCTGAGGAGTTTGCTGAATGAAAAAAAAAGCCAATCCATAAAGATTATATGCTGCATGATTTAATTTATACAAACTATTTGAAGAAACAAATTTTCAAAGTGGAAGACAGATTACAGTTTCCGCAGTTTCAGGGATGGCAAATGTGAGGCAAAAGTGTGGTAGGTGGAGCTGTAATAAAGCAACAGGAAAGATCGTTGTGGTATTAGAACCCTTTCAGTGTCTTGCCTGGTGGTGAATATCTGAACCTAGGTAGATGATAAAATTGTTTAGCACTTAATAACACAGACACACACAGACAAACAGACATGCACAGGAGTTCAAGCACGCTATGGGAATCTTTTTTTTTTTTTTTTCTTTTTGTGGTGCTGGGGATTGAACCCAGGACCTTATGCATGAGAGGCAAGTCTTCTACCAACTGAGCTATATCCCTAGCCCAGCTATGGCAATATTAATAAGATAGATCATATTTATGACTATTTCTCCATTGTGGTATTATCCTATACTTTTGCAAAATGGTACAATTGGGGCAAACTGGAAAAAATGCATAAGGGCTCTGTTTTATTTAATATAATTGGATGTGAATTTTCAATCATCTGAATCAAAAATACATACAACAGCAACTCTCTGTGACATACACACACACCTTCCTTCAGTCTTGTCCCACACATCAAGAGGGTAATGGGTAATGCTGTGCTTATGCTGCAACTTTGGTGAGAAATGGACTCTGATGAGAGACGGTATACATTGTGTGAACAAGACAAAATCTTTTCAAGACCAAAGGCATACTCAACCCTTCTCTCCATACACAGAATAAGCAAGCAAATCTGAGTGCCACTGTCATGGTTATGCCAAAATAAAAAGTGCACTAAAAATGGCCCTACTTAAAAATTTAAAAGTAACTTAATGCATGCAATAATTAATACCTTTCCTACTATGTGTAAACTATTTGATTACTAGGTAGAATGGAATTGTATGTTAAATCAGAACTTCTCAATAACATGGAGAACCAAAATAATTGCAGATCTAAATTTAGTTTATATTAATGAAAAAATATAAGGGAAATTATTAAGAAATATACATCTAAAACTATATAATAGAAAATATTCCAATATTAAATCTTAAAGTGGTAGATAAACATAGACAAAAGAATAATACCTATAGAACCACATTTTGCTGGGGTAAAGGAAGATCGTGTGTGTGTGTGTGTGTGTGTGTGTGTGTGTATAAATAAAACTGTTTTAAATTTAAACAATAACTTTAATGGGCAATTTAACAATAAAACGAAATATGCTTTTATTTGGGACCAGGAATTGAACCCAGGGGCACTTAAACACTGAGTCACATTGCTAGCCTCTTTATATTTTATTTTGAGACAGACTCACTAAGTTGCTTAGGGCCAAAATATACTTTTTCAAGTACAAAAGAGAAAAGGAATCATTATTCATCTTTGTCAAATAAATAATGTATATCAAAATTAATCTCAAATCAATTACTTATATTATATTCATTCACATTTTTTCTCTTTTTAATATTTTTAGTTGTAGATGGACACAATATCTTTATTTATTTATTTATTCATTCATTCATTTATTTTTATGTGGTGCTGAGGATTAAACCCAGGGCCTCACATGTGCGAGGCAAGTTCTCTACCACTAGCCACAACCCCAGCTCTCATCCACACTTTTCAAACAATCTCAAAAGAGCAACATTTTGAACTTTAAGCCAAAAATCTGCCCTATTTAAAATTCAGTGAAGTGAATATGACAATACTTTGAAATTAATATGAATATAAACTTGCAAAAATCTAATAACATTCAATTATTTGATACTTATATTTAAATAAAAATACTTGAGAATGCTGTAAACACTACAATTTTCTAGAAAATTTTTTTCAAGTTCAGCTATATGAAAACAATAGATACAAGTCAGAGAAAATACAGACTATGAATATTACATACCCTATTAGAGGAACTTCTATTACTTTATTTCCTATTAAAATATGTAGTTGGTCAAATGTGTTTTCATCTTTATCAGGATGATATTCCACCATAGCTGTCATATGAAGACCAGAAGCAAGTGCCTTATCCAGATTGGTCAACATCAGTTTGAACTTCAGTGGGGAAAAAAAAAAGATTCAAATTATACATCATTGTGTGTGTGCATATGTATGTTCCTGGAGACCGAACTCAGAGCCTTGCACCTGCTCAACAAGCACTCTATCAGTGAATCACATTTACCACTGAGCTGTATTTCCAGCCCCCAGATTATACACCTTAACTCCTTAAAAGAATGTAATGTGAGCAAATGTAGTTAGGAGTGTACATTATTATCAAATCATAGTCCTTATTCCTGCCCTAAAAGCAAAAATCTTTCAATTTTATTTTAATTGACACATAATCATTTTATATATGTATGTGGTAGAATGTGATGTTCTGATACATGTATATATTGTGGAATGAGCAAATACGGCTAATTAACATGCATTGCCTCACAGACTCATTTTTGTCATGAGAACATTCATAATCCTCTTAGCAATTTAAAAATATACATTATTAACTATAGTCATCTAGTTGTTTTAGTAGATCACCAGAACTTATTCCTGCATGCATATGTACATACACACATTGTGTACACACATGTGTATGTATATTAAATACAGGAAGTACACAATATTTCATATATTTTCTGCATGGGGACCTGGGCTTCATAACTTGGAGGAAACAGAAAGAAAGAATAGACCAAAGAGGAAAAAACATTTGATAGCTTCAGGAAAATATTAAGGTAGAAAGAGGAGAACTGATAACTGTTGATCACTTATGATGTGTCAAGCAATTATACATCTATTATCTCAATACATTTCTAAAGTCCTATGAGGTTGATATTAAGGCTCTCAGCAGACAGATTGACTCTGACTGTAGAGTGAAACCAATATCTAAAGTCACTCAGAAGTGAGGATGCCATAACAACTAATCTACCTGACTGTAAAACTTAATACCTTCCTCCTTCACCCTCAATCAGTAACAATAGAGATCGTATTGAAATTAATTATTCTAATCAAATGCTTTGCATCCTACTCTTAGCATCTTATGAGCTGACCAATTAGGCAAAACTAACATTTACCAAGAGTCCTTGAGACTCAAGTCCAAAATATAAGGAATGTTAGTAAATGCAATAAGTATCCTGGAGGGTAGAAATAATATGGGGAGATATGACAATTAATGGAAACTCACATTGACCTTAAAAGGTGGATGAGATTTAGGAAAATGGGGAGCAGGGGGGTCTTGTAGATGAGGGAAGTAAAAATGTGAGTCAAAAGAAAAGGAAGTCTGAGCAATAGGCAAGAGGGAGAAATTACGAATAAGACTGGCTTAACCAAACCAGAGGCCACACAAATTAGCAAAGCAATATTAAATGGATAGTGGGAAACTGAAAAATAGTATTGAAATCAAGCACAGAACTATCAACTGTATGACCCTGGAAAATAAGAACTTTGTATTCTTTTTCTACCAACTACCTACAAATAGATGGTGTGCAACATTGTATATGGTGCATAGTGCACACTTAATATATAGATATTCAGATATCTAACAAATCTGTGTTAGTAGATATCAGAATAGTGGTTAATCACCTCCATGGGGTGATTACTCCAGGTACTGTAGGGAAGGGGCACTAGCAACCTTCTAGTGTGCTAAATATATTTAATGATTTGATACAGGTGGTGGCTTCATAAGTATATACATATATACACACTAATCCATCAAGCTTTACTTTGATATTTGTGCATATCCATGTAGATAAACACTGTATTTTTTTTGAAGAATAGAAAAAGAAAACAGAACATGAAAATTCTTTTTTTATTGCTCTCCTAGTCACTAACAGGTTTGCCTATGTATATACAAACACTTTAACTTTAAAATTATGGACATATTTTATGCATTCAGATGAATTCACTAGGAATATCTTCTGAAAAATCCCAGTTATTTATTGCTTACTTATCAAAACTTATACATTTCCTATATCAAAAGTCTTGTGAACTAATAGACACCCATTCACATATATGATCTAAAATAACAGTAAGAGAGATGAAATTCTCTCCACTTTGAAGTCAGAAGACAGAGACAATCTCTCAGAACACTAATATTCATGATGGATAGACTTGTACTAAAATGTTCCCATTAGGTTCTAGGTCCTACAAGAGCAGCAATTTGTCCAGTCAGTATTCCTCACATCTCTTGACTGTTACATAATATGTGCTCAACAAACATTTGTTAATATGTGAAATTTTTTTTAAAAAAAGCTTTCCAGTAATTCCATAGTTCTGGAGAAATCAAATACTTTATGACTCAAAGGGTTAATAGAGAATTTTATTCTCATGGTGCTTAAGCCAAGGTGCAGATTCCGGGTTCGTACAAGTAGTCAAAGAACCCCTTCCTTTCTTTCCAAACTCGGGATGAAGAAACAGATTCTACATCAGCTTCAAGCAAAGAGGGTGGGGAGTGGGGGTACAGCAGCACATATAGAAACACACCTGCTAAACTACCGGACCTGGGGAAGTTCAATCCTACCCCCACCTCCTCAGGAGCCCACTGCTGGGCCAAAGGGAGGTGTTAGGTGAGAAGACATTCTCAGAGTCCCCGCCCTCCAGAGGTCCTGGTTCCAGCACCTCTCAGTGTGTCACCTGTGGTTTAATTGGCTCTTGAAACCTTATCTTCTGGTTCCAACGGCCGAGATTGTGTACAGTAACTGGGAGGCGGTAAACTTTCCCAGCCACCGTGTTCAGGAACTTCAGCTCCGACGGGGTCACCCGCAGCTGAACGTCCTTCTTCTGGCTGTCTGTGTCCCAGGGGATGGGGGAGGCCCTCTCAATGTCCATGGCTGACTTCTCCATAGTGGACAAATAGTTGTGGACTTGGCCGACCCAGGACAAACTTGGTCTAGTTGCTAGGCGACCATCGCTAGGCAACCGTTGGACTCGGAGCTCTTGCTTGGGCTCGCGCTCCTCCATTGTCTACGTGCAAGTCGCGCGAGTTGGCTACTGAAATAGAAGCCGCGGGTGCCTGGCAAAAAAATCCGGGGTGGCAGGTGTCACCAGAGCAACGGAAAAACATGTTATGACAGCCCCAAACACAGAAACTGCTCACTTATTTGTCGTGGTTTGGCAGAATTTTATGATGGCATTTGGTGTAGTGGGCATTTTCCTGGACCTTTCTTCAGACCAAGCTTTTAAGATCAATAAAATAATTTGCACATGGGGTCAATTAAGGCAAGAAGATGTTACAGAAACGGAGGATTTCAGTGGAAAACAGAGTCAGGGTCCCTAAGTGTCCTGCTCAATGGCCTTTAGACCAGCATTTCTCAATTAGTGTTGCTTATAATACCAGAATCTTAGATTGATATGAAAACCAATCAATAGGGTCGAGTAAAATAATTTGCAATCTACCCCTGATTGATAATTATGTAGATTTGTGTGTATTGATATAGAAAGATATACATTACACAGTATTAAATTTTGAAAAGTGACCAAATGGTATGTATATTATGAGACATATTTCTTTTTACACATATACGCACACACTAAAACCAATCCTTTGGATCTTTGTTAAGATGCCAATTTAAAAAAAATGCCAATTTCATTTCAATATATATGGAGCAGAGTCTAATAATCTATACATATAACAAATTCCCAGGTGATAACAATGCTGCTGGTCCAGGAACAATATACTGAGGACAGAGGTATTAGGAACTTTGTTAACTACACCAGGTATAAGCTTCTTCATTTGTGAAATGAAAGTTACTCAAGATATAGTGATCCAACATATTAATTGCTAGATGAAGACCTTTTCAACAGGCTTGAATTTACACTGTGCAATGCCTACTCTCTCCTCATCCTTCCTCTACTATGATCTCAGAGTTTCAAAACCTATCAGGTGTTTTCATTTCCTCCTTGATAACACACATGATGTTCACTCTGAGATGAATGACCTCTCCAACTTCCAACCAGTTAATCTTTTAAGACTTAAGTACTTTTATAAAATCTTTCCCATAACAGTTTTACAAGATTTTCATGGTACCAAGATGATAAGTAAATTATTTCTTTCTACAAGGAGGAAGAGATTTGTAAGTAATATAAAAGAAAGTTGACAAGTTTCTTGAAATGGTTGTTGTAAATAGTTGAAAATAGTGTTTGTAGTACTAATGGTGATTATTATGTGCAAAATTCTTAGGAAGCCATAGATTAAAAACATCTGCATCTTCTTTCAATAGTTTGTCTTAGTTTAACAAATAGGAGATGTGGATCACCCCTGGACTTTTTATGCCAATCTCTATATCATGTCATAATACACATCTCGTCTATATCCCTGAGCCCTAAAGCAGGACAATTTTATAACACTGAAAGGAACACAGTGGGTCACAGAATTTGACTGAATCAAGACCACAGTCCATGCATAGCCTCCTAAACAGTCTCTGGGGGGAAAAAGATGGAAATTTTAGAATTCCATTTTGTCTATTCTCAGGGAGAAAAGTAGCCCAAGTCTGGACTTCTGGGTAGAACCTAAAGATACAATGATACATATCAATTAGAGAAAAATATTGTTTCTCTTTTGTTGGTATTCCCATCAACTAAGGAAGAGTATCACAGTCTGCTGTGCTTAGGTAAATTTAAATTGTTTAATCTACTCTTTTATTAACTGAAAATGTCACTTTCACATGAAATATTCTAAAATCAATCTACATCACATATTTACCTCTAAATTCTCTAATTTCTATATTGAATAATGTTCACCTAAGGTTTTTTTTAACCTTTTCAACTCTGCATGATAATGCAATTACTTGGACAAATAACATATGAAATTTTATATAACAGTAATTCAAAGCAGAAATAGGAAGCAGAGCAAGATGGTAGCTGAGTAAGATCCCTCAGCAACCATCTCCCTATATCCACAGAAATTGGAACAGTTATTCACACACTACATTACTTTTACAACAACTAGAAAGTCAGGTGAGAGATCATAGAATCTGGTTTTAGTATCATAAGAAGCGAAAATTCACTGAAAAAGGCAAGAAGGAAATAGTTGCCAATGTCACTCTTCCTGCAACTCCAAGCAGCACAGAGAGATACCTCCCACTTGGGAAAGAGAAATATTTAAATTTAGGCCTTATACTTGAAACCCAATACCAGGCCCACCATGGTGTACACCCAGCGCTAGGGTGAGTCCTACAACTGCCGCCTCCACTACAGTAATTACAGACTGAGCCAATGGAATTACATTAGAAAGGCAGGGTATTATGGTTTAGATAGGAGGTATCCCCCAAAAGCTCATGTGTTAGACAATGCAAGAATTTTCAGAGGTGAAAAGATTAGATTATGAGGGTTGAACCTAATCAGTGGGTTAATTTACTGAAATGAATTAGTTGGGTGGTAACTATAGATAGGAAGGGTGTGACTAGAGGAGATAGATCACTGGAGGCATGCCTTTGGGGTTGATAGTTTGTCCCTGGTGAACGGAGCTATTTCTTTGCATCCTGGCTTTTATGTCCTGAGCTGCTTCCCTCCACCATGCCCTTTTGCCTCACTTAAGGCCCAGAGCTATAAAAATCAGACAATCATAAACTGAACTTCTGAAACCATGAGCCCCAAATTGTTATTATAAAGTCTTTTGGTCACAGCAACAAAAATGCTGCTAAAATGGAGGGTTAAGTGACTGGTTCTGCAACCCTTGACCCAAACTTGGGCAGCAGAGAGGGGAGCAGGACTCTACTTGCTGGAAAACAGAGCATGAAAGCTAGTGCCAGATTTTGCCTTGGAGCTAAATAATAGGCCCACCGCAGTAGAACCCAGCATTACACAGAAACCAAGGAGCCTTTATACCCAGGCCGGAGCTCATAAATGGAGCCTTCTGTGCTGCCCCAACATTAGGCAGAGATTTATGCGCCATATATATGGAGGCCATAGGAGAGATGACTCCATGAAGATTGAAGCGACAGAATGGTTTTTGAGTTTGAATGTGTCAAGAAGTAATTTAGACTATTAGGGCTTCTTGGAATAAGAAAGTAGGGTATGGAAATAAATTACTGTTAAAGCACACAGAATCAAACTAAAAACAACAAAAATGTTGATTACTTAGAAAGTGGAAGGTTATGCATAACAATAACAATAACAATGACCTCTTACTTGGCTTAAAAGTGAATATCACTTATTGATATATATATATATATATAAAATCAGAATGTTCATCCAAAAAAAAATTAAGTTATAGCTATATTGGGTAGTTACCTAGATGGGAAGTATATGTGACGGTGAGCTAGTTGATAAGAGAACACTATATTATCATCTTCTAAAGTAAAAACTAATGACAACATCAAATCTCATGAGAATGAGAGCAACTAGATCAGTCATAAATTTCTGATGAGAATGTAGTATTTTACAACCTCTCTGGAAAACAGATTTATATTTTCTTATTAAACCAAACATGTAATTTCATACATCCCACTAATTGCAGTTATGGACATTCATCCTAGAGAAACCCAAACTTATTTGCACACAAAATGTAAATATCATGAATAGCAGCTTTATTCGTTATAGCCCAAACCTGGAAACAGTCCAATGTTCTTCAAGAGATGAATAAGCAACCTACAATGCATTCATATATAAAATATTACTCAACAATGAGAAGGAATGAATGATGGATACATGCAAAACCATGGGTGATTCTCCAGAGAATTATGGTCAGTGAAAATATATATTTCCAAAAGGTTACAAGCACATGATTCCTTTATGTTATGTGTTTCAAATGACATTTTGAAAATGGAGGACATATCCAGTGGTTAGGTATGGAGTGAAACAGAAGAGAGCCAGGTATGGTTTATAAAAGAGAAAGATAAGGGATTCTTATATTGAAGCAGTGACCGTGACTATGACCATGCATACATGAACCTACATAGGTGATAAAATTGTATAGAACTAAACACACACACATAGACAAATACAAACAAACAAAATGAGGACTGGTATAACTGACGATCTAATACAGATGTCTTATATAAGTCTTAAAATCTTGGTTATGATAGTAAATTATAGTTTTGCAAAATGTTATCATTAAGGGAAATGTGGAAAATTTTTAATGGTACTAGGGATGTAAACTTGGAAAATTTTACAGAAGAGATCTCTATTATTTCTTACAAATGCATATGAATCTATAATTATCTTAACAAAAATCAAATTTAAAATAGAAATTAAATAAAAGGAAATTCAAGTAAATAAAGTTTAAATGCTACTCCCAAAAATGTTCCTATTGGGACATCTGGAGGAATTGTACATAAGGTCTAAAAAACTGAAATAAAAACTCATTGTGTTTGTTCACAATATTCTGGATGGCAAGTGTAGCACTTTGCTCAAAATTCTAAAACATTCCACTTTTGGTGTGCATTTACAGGGAGATTTACTTCGTGTATAGGAGTGCAATTCAGCAAGACATTGAGAAGAGCATATAAAATTCTGCAGAGACAGTGCACCCTGTGAGAATTTGCCCAATAAATTTGTGCCTGGCAGGCAGATTGATTATCTGTTTTCTAGTTGTTCCCAGTGTCTTCCACTATATTTATAGATAGCTGTAAGTTGTCTATTGTTTTCTTGTAGAAATGTACATGGCCAGCGGTTGCTCTTTTGGTTGACCTTTATGATGGAAAAATGTAAAATCAGTAATAAAGCCCTTGATTTATTTTTAGTTGCAACCCATTCTTTCCTATGCTTCATGCAATTTTGGTATAATCAAAAATGCTAGTAGGTAATTTCCATTGTATTTGGCATCCTTGACTAGACTGATCATTTCAAGCCTCTCATTCCTTGTGAGTCATTTACATGTGTTCTTTGCC